CATGAACAGCAGAGGGGTGAGAAACGGAGCCGCCAAACCTTGGAATGTCTTGGAATCTTTCCAGGATTCACAAAGGTGTTCTAAAGTGACTAACAGTTTCAAACATTTACAAAAGCACACAGAAGAGACATTACAGTTATAATGTAACAGACATCCTTCACTTTTATAGCCATGGAGAAAGAAACAATGTTTAGGGATCTGATTTGAAACGCAGAGACAAAAAGAAACAGATCATTGAAAGTACAGTAAAGGTGCTGTAAAATTAACACGTGAATTAAAGGGGTCATATGATGCGATTTCAAGTTTTCCTTTCTCTTTGGAGTGTTACAAGCTGTTCGGGCATAGATAAGATCCCTAAAGTTGCAGACTAAAGTCTCAAACCCAAAGAGATATTCTTTATAAAAGTTAAGACTCGCCCACGCCCTCCTAAAACAGCTCGTTTAAACACGCCCCCACATGTTACAAGTCATTATAATCCGTAATTATGTCCCCACTGGATGCAACAAATGCCTCGTTTACAATGGGTTTTATTGTTTTTGTCTCGTCGCTCCGGGACACGGCATCACAGTATGGTAAGGGGCGTAACATTTCCGTCACACGCTTGAGGTATTCGGCCAATCACAACGCACTGGATAGCTGGCCAATCAGAGCACACCTCGCTTTTCAGACCGATGAGCTTTGTAAAAATCGACGCGTTTCAGAAAGGCGGGGCATAGAGGAGAAACAATAATGTACAGTATGTGTAAAATAATGTGTTTTTTGAACCTTAAACCACATAAACACATTGCATTACACCAAATACACAAAATAATGTTATTTTTAGCAACGTCATATGACCCCTTTAAGAAGATTAATCCAAGTTTTCTGTATAGTGATATGATTGCTTTATATGATAATGCAATGAGTTTGTTCTAGTGTGTGATGCACACATGTGCTTCTGTGTTTACTATATATGATGCACTATGTATGAGTCGATCATTGATTAGATTTAAAAAAAAAAAAGAAGCCTAAATTAAACCTGTTCATCATATAAAGCAACTGTATCTCTTCACAAGATTACACTACATTTATATGGATTAATTTTAAGGTGGCTGTATAACCTCTTTGGATTTTTAAGTTGTGGTTATCTTAATTTGTGTTTCAAAGATTAAACAAAGTCTTTGGAACAACATGAGATGAGGATGAGGTTGAATTTTCATTTTTGGGTGAACTATCCCTTTAATGGACAAAGGAACTTGATTTGGTAACGAGAATGAAGCAGAAAATGGATAAAGCCTTCGACTGCCAGGATGGGAATGAAACGGACTCAGCAGGCTCCGGAATGCTGGGATTCTTTATAGAAGTCTTAATGATGTCCCAGAGTATTTTAAGATCCGGAGACGAGCTGAATGAACAGCTGTGCGCCTAAACCAGAATTCATTCTAGACAACTTCAGACACATTTTAAAGTGTGTGTGTGCGTCTGTGAGGGTGCATGAATGGATGAATGGTTTGGGACACTTGGAGTACAAAGAAAACTTGAATGAATCGCACAATATGATGTATTGGGGAGGCTTGGTTTAGAGTTGCTGTGACCCAGACTGTGTGTGTGTGTGTGTGTGTGTGTCGTTGATTCCTGTTCCCGTAACTTACACTCACAGGTGCTCGAGACAGGTATACTAGTTTTAATATTCATGCCTCGGGGGATTAGAACACACACTGACATCTCAAGTAACTGATTTATAGAAACAGAAATTGCA